GAAGTCTGTGGACTTGGCCTCTCGAATACGGTAGCAGCTACGACCTTGACCTTTCAGGACTGTAGCAGCTACGACCTTGACCTTTCAGAACATCTACAGCTACGACCTCTACAGAGCTGTGACTCCTATTTGACAGACCTACAGATCGAACCCCTACCACTACATCGACCTACGACAGACAGCAAACAACTACCAAAACACAGGTCACGGGTTCAAACACTCAGGGGCCGACTTGATACTATACATGGGTAAGTAAGATCTGGGAATCGAGTCCTGGGATCTACTTCTGCCTCTGCAAAGGTGAAAACCGTTTCAGTGGGGAGCAACACCTCCTGGAAAGCGGGTCCAGCGTCCCTTGAGAAGTTGAGATACTTCTTGCAGACTCAGTCAGCTGCTCAGCTGCTCGCACACTTTCTCGGTCACTCGCTCGGTCAGTCTGTTGGTCGCTCGCTTGGTCGCTCGGCTGGTGGGTGAGTCCCTCAATTGCTGACTCAGTCGGTCGCTCAGTTGCTCGCACACTTGCTCGGTCACTCGCTCTGCTCATCGCACACTCGTTCGGTCCCTCGCTGGGTGAGCTTTTGTCCACTCTATGATTTTCTACTGATGATTTGAAAGAGTCCTGTCATCGTACAAGGAAAAAAAAAAAAAAAAAAAAAGGGAACAAAAGAAAGGGGCTCCAGTCGTATTCAGATACGGATCAAAAGTCTGCAGTCAAAAAAAACAAAAAAAAAAAAAAAAAAAAAAAACAAAAAAAAAACGGTGCTCATCTAAGATTGGGTTAGTAGCTTGAAGAACTTTTTTTAACCCACTTGCTGCATGAGTTAGAGGGAAAAAAGAAAAAGAAAAAGAAAAGAAAAAAGAAAAGAAAAAAGAATAGTCGTTCAGAGAATTTTGCACAAAATGTGAGGCTTTACTCTCGAGGAGGACATAATGTGCAAACAAAATTGAAGTACCGGCATGCTTAACGCACACCAGCATCGCCCTTCTGCCTTGTCCACTCAGGCGACGTCAATATCGTCCCATACTGCATATATAGTTGCTCCACGAGCTGTTTCCTACATTCCAAAAAGCCCAAGTCACTCTCTACTCACCCTCGCTCATCCTCTTTCCATAGGTCCTACTGCCTTCGTCACTCCCGGGAAAAAAACCCGTTGGTCCGCTGATATCTGTTCATACCGTACGTTGTACGGATCCCAGTGTAGGTTCATCCGGTCGATTATTTGTTCTCCTGTAGCCAACGCAGAATCTTCCGAGCGGCTTTTTTACCGAGCTTCGTCCTCCGAATTGCCAGTACAGCGTTCCTGAGTATCTCAGTTGGGTACCCCAACTGCCTTGCCTCAATAAAGAACCACTTCATCACATTGACCGTATCCGATTGATAGGAGGAGTTAGTAAGGATACGATGCAAAGTTCCTAGTATTGTAATTTCCTTGGATTTCAAGGGACCAAAACTTTTGAAATGCTTAATCGTATGAAATCGTCCAAAACCCCCCTCCTGGAGTGTTTCTTGATTTTTCAAACGATGTAAGCACTTCAAGAGGGGTCCTTTCTTCTGTTTGATAATATTCGTTTCCAGATATCTTTTCTTCCCATCAGTGATTTGCGAAGTTGCTTCCAGCTTCAGAGTGTTGTGGTAGCATTTCTGAAACTGTTGAATGCAATCCAGGGCCGTCTGTTGCTGTTCAGTACTACAAACAGCTGCAATAAACACGTCGTCCACAAAACGAAGTCCAGTTATGAATCTTTCGTCAGTGCCGAGCGTCTTTCGCCATTGAACCTCATCAAAATTACAAACTAGGTTTGCGATCGGGGGACTTGACCCCTTGCCCATCCGTATCCTAACGTCTGCTTTACCAACTTCCCTTGTACTAAGAAATAGGAGTGGGAGATATCAAAACGCAGTAATTTTGGAAGATCTGAGATTTTCAAAGTCTTCCATCCCCACGTGCCTTTTGCCTTCCCAAGTTCAATCTTTCTTCCCTGCAACTTGATTTTGATGTGTGTGTGATTCCGTTTCAAGTGTTCACAAACAAGCCAGTCCATCGCATTCTCTATATGTGAATGGTCAAGACAAGTGAACATATCCTTTACATCAAAAGTCGCACAAAGAATGTCAGCCTGGTTTCCGAACAGATCCCTTGCATTTCTACCTATTCCGTTAATTTTAGTAGCAAGTTCGTTGGTTCCTAGCATGCCAAATCCAAGCTGTAAAATCCTCACGAGGAAATTAATACTTCTTGCAAGAATCTTCGAAGCTTGGATGGATGGTTCTTGAAACGTTCGTACAATTGGCCGTCTTTTTAGGACACCTTTATCCTTCAGCATCACATAAGCATGTCCATAAACTCCGTTGTTATTCCAATGAGCAAATTTCGTTAATCCCAGTTCTTTGTATTCAATCCGACTGCTGTCAAGTCTGTCCTGCATTGTGGAGTCAATGATCTGATAATTAGGAGCATCTAGGAACATCTGCTGCATTTTGTCCCAGAATACCTGAGGGCATTCGACATACGTTTCCCCCGGATTTCGGTCCAGTGGTGAGCAAATTAGTGGTTTGAGTTTCCTCTTCCACTCGTAGACAGTCCGTATGGTTAAACCAAAATCCGTTGTTGTTTCGTCTTTCAAACAGCGATCAACATCAAGATCCGCTGGTTTGAAACTGACAGGACAGTATCGACGTGGGAGAGAATCAATCGTAGAGGCGATAGCTGATTGTACCGCATACTTACTGGTTTCACCAATGTATACCGGTACATTCTTTGCATTACACAGTAGTCTGTCATTACTGATCTCAGACAATCGAAAAGAGACATGTCCGTTAACTTTAGGAAAAAAACACTCGTGACAGGGGCAGTTCGGTCTGTTCTTAACCATCCTTCTGTGATTGTGGAGAATATCCCCGACTGTCCGAAGTTTACCAAACATGACCCTTGCTCGCCTCTCGATCATTTCAGCCAGTGCCGGATGTGTTACTTTCATCAGAATTATCTTACTAAATTCTTTCCTTACTTGCAGCAGGTTAATGTCAGGCGCAAAAGGAATCCGAACTATTAGTCGTCGACGAATATTGATCTGGAACTTTTTCGTAGCAACCCTGGATAGACAGCCTCTGAGTATTCCTCGACTCTTCTTCGATGCAATATGTCTCATGTCGGAATACATCTTAATGATTTTCGTCAAGGAGTACCCATATAGCTTGGCTCTAGTCCAAGGTGCACGTAGCAGAGAGATCAGTTTGTTTCTAATCTTAACACTGATGGATATATTTTCAACACAGCAGGAAACTTCAAAAACGCAACCGGATTCAAATATCACTCGACAGTCTCTAATTAGTCTTTTATTTCCATCAATAATCACCACGCTGTCACCAAATTTCCTCTTAATAACTTTCCAGCATTCCACCCAAAGATTACCACTGAAAGATTCAATTGCAACCTTTGGTTTGATGAGGCTCGAAAGCTGCGTGGTTACTTTCTCTTGTGATGAAAACAGAATCGGTTCATCCAAAGATGCCCAGTTGTGTTTAATTTTATACTTTTTTCGTTTCCTCCACTTGTTGTTAACTCTACCTCTCCGTTTCGTTCCTCTGTGATGTGTGTTCAAGTAGGGATTCCATTTCTGAATAAGTTTTTGTTCGACTCGTGCAACACTGCAAGCATCACCAACCCATACCGGTATACACGTGTATTTTTGCATCTCGAACTTAGCAACCCAGGAGTAAAGTCTCCTGTGCTGCTTGTGTTCGTGACGCAACACAACACTAGCGTGTTCCTTCCATCGTCTGTCAATGCCCCTCGTCGTCTTTACCACGTAGAAATGTCTACACCAGGGTGAGACCCAGACATAGACGCACACTCGTTCGTTCAAAAGTCGATCCCAGTCCTTACCTGTTGAGTTGATTAGTGCGAATATCTTGCACGCCCAGCTAATCTCACCTCTGCTCATCAATGTTAAGGTCGCCAGTCTAAATGCCCTGTTGGCAACCTGACACTCCTTCCACTTACTACCCTTGGTCAGCTGACAGATGGTGTTGTTGCATTGCCTGGCCAGACTCCATGTTACCGTGCTAGGTAAACTTGAGCAGTCCGATCGTGGCTGCTAGTGCGTGCCTGGTTGCACACCCTTCGAAACAGCCTGTTCTTCCGAAAAATCGACTTCAACATCATCGGAGGAGCTTCCCTCAACTTCTTCCGACTTAGAATCATCCGACTCGTCCTCTGGTTGTCCACCATTAACTTCATTTCCGGTGTCGGTCTTGTCCGGCAGATCCTCTGTGTCTGATATTATCAGACCAGGAATCTTCTGCAACGCCACCCTGGCTTGTGGCATACTCCTGTATCTCACATTGTGCGTATTGCACATTTTCTTGAGATCATCCATTTGTAGGGTGCTAAGCATATCCTCCGAGATTTGCTTGCCTTGTAGGATCCTCCGTCTTGCCGAATTCCTTCGCGCGCTCTTCTTCGGATCTCTCTTTGTTGTTGGCTTCTTCATAACTCTGCTTGGCCCGACTTCAGTTGGCTTGGGCGTCTCTTTCTTCAGTGGAGTCCTACGATTTTCCATGATCTGTCGAGGAGATACAAAGTCCCTTCGTGCAGGCGTCTTGAGGTTTGTAAGGGAGCCTTTGAGAGAGGCGATTTCGTACTTCATGCTCCTCGTCTCCTCCAGCTGCTTCTTCAGCACCTTCATCTCGGAAGCCATCTTCACGACCTCGCTCTCCTTTGTTTTTACTTTGCTTGTCTATTGTGAACTGCCATCCCCAGGTTTCTTGCACGCTTGTGCGGCAACTTCTTCATGAACAGCAGCCTCGACATCAAGTTTGAGCTGCTCAGCAGTAACCAGGTCCGTTCTCCCTGTCGCAGAACTGACCTCGTCAGAGAGCTTATCGACGTGTTTCTTCAACTTGTCGAGTTCCCTTCGAAGCGCATACAGCTCGTCCCTGAATTCCACGGTAAACCAGGCCCTATTGCCCGGTGCCGGTTTATTATGTGGAAATGCATAACGACGCTCGTCCCGTTCCCGAGACAGGCTGCGTCTTCTTCTTCTGCTTGTCGCCGATGACACCGATCTTGATCGATGTCGCTCACGCTTCTTATAATCAGCCGACCTATCCCTGGATCGTTCCGATCGTCTGGCAGGAGACCTTCCGCTCCTGGAATCCTCTCTCGCCCTCCTGCGGTCAGGTGATCTCGATCTCGACCTGGTACGCGATCTACCCATACTGGAATGTAGGAATACAGCCTTGTGCTAGCGAGTACTATTCCGTGACCTTCGGCAGCTTCGAGTCCGATGCGAAGAACCACGATATGAAAAATTTGTAAGTCTGATCGAAAAAAACTCCAAGATAAGCGAAAATAAGCGAAAATTCCGAAAGGTGCAACCAAGATTCAATCCAAACTCAAAGAATACGTGCCACCACCGATCACTATTACTGGGTGGAAAAGAATTCGAGAAAAGTCCACTAAGTAGATATAAAGCACCAAAAAATCCTAACTATCAGCCACCGAAAAAGCACTTAGCTCGTATCATCCGAGACGAAAAACATCAGCCTAGAGTATCAGAATCAAACTGGATATCCTGCGACACTGAATATCCTATCCAACCCCGAATGTATTTCGTCCAAATTTCGAAACACCGAAAAAGCACTTAGTTCGTAACTTTCAAGACGAAAGAAAACCAACTCGGAGTATCACAACTCAATCTCAGATACTTGCGACCCAGACTCTATATATCTGAACAAGAATAGGTTCACTATGCATTAGATGCATCCCATTGAACCTCGCGTATTCGGAAAAGCGTAGATACTGTCAAACCAAAACAATCACACCACAAAAAGCTAGATATGCCAAACAGATGATGTCGTTCGCTGAGAATTAATAAATAAATAAATAAATAAATAAATCAAACGTAACTCCAGAAACGGAAGTCCGCAAAAAAGTTCACCACGATTTGCAAATAGATCTCCGAATTCATCACTGTATTAAACGCTCCATCGGTTCGTTCACTCCATCCGCGACTTGCGAAGCTTACGGATACGTACACGCCGTACCTGCACATAAGAGACAACCAACAATATCCTATCCTTCGACGGATCGAAGAAAGGTTTGCTCACCGACCAACACGGGTACAATCTCCCGTAAGCTCAAGGTGGGCTGCGTGAAAAGTCGTTCAGAGAATTTTGCACAAAATGTGAGGCTTTACTCTCGAGGAGGACATAATGTGCAAACAAAATTGAAGTACCGGCATGCTTAACGCACACCAGCATCGCCCTTCTGTGATGGAAAATAAGGAATTGTGAATCTGTGATGGAAAAAGGGGAGGAGAGGGGGAAGCAAGGAGGGGGGAGCACCCTATTTCCCCAAGTGTTGTGCTTCGCATGAACATCAATGACCACGCAACTGTGCTGTTGACTTCACTGAAATTGCCATGAAGTTTCTTGGGATTGCCTGTTGTTTCAACACCTACTGTGCAGTGTGCATGTCTCCCTAAAATTCAACGCGCTTTCTCGGACTCGCCTTTTTGCCGCACTCGCTATTGGCGGACAAAGCAATATTCTGTTGCCCAAAAAGAAACGAAGAAAAATGAGTTTTTTCAGTCCCCTCTTCCTCCTCGTTCCCGTTTGCTTCAGTCACAAAGGCAAAAGGGCATCAGGATTTCATTTCCTTGACAGGAGCTGATCATACACACCTGTCCTGTGTCAACTGTTCTCTCTCTCTCTCTCTCTCTCTCTCTCTCTCTCTCTCTCTCTC